TGCTACAGCTATTGATGATCAGATTATTCTATAAATAGTTTATGATATATTTTAGATGTTGTAATACTGATGGTTAAATATTAAAACCTTCTAAACCTGCTACAGCTATTGATGATCAGATTATTCTATAAATAGTTTATGATATATTTTAGATGTTGTAATACTGATGGTTTAATATTAAAACCTTCTAAACCTGCTACAGCTATTGATGATCAGATTATTCTATAAATAGTTTATGATATATTTTAGATGTTGTAATACTGATGGTTAAATATTAAAACCTTCTAAACCTGCTACAGCTATTGATGATCAGATTATTCTATAAATAGTTTATGATATATTTTAGATGTTGTAATACTGATGGTTTAATATTAAAACCTTCTAAACCTGCAACAGCTATTGATGATCAGATTATTCTATAAATAGTTTATGATATATTTTAGATGTTGTAATACTGATGGTTTAATATTAAAACCTTCTAAACCTGCTACAGCTATTGATGATCAGATTATTCCATAAATAGTTTATGATATATTTTAGATGTTGTAATACTGATGGTTTAATATTAAAACCTTCTAAACCTGCTACAGCTATTGATGATCAGATTATTCTATAAATAGTTTATGCTATATTTTAGATGTTGTAATACTGATGGTTTAATATTAAAACCTTCTAAACCTGCTACAGCTATTGATGATCAGATTATTCTATAAATAGTTTATGATATATTTTAGATGTTGTAATACCGATGGTTTAATATTAAAACCTTCTAAACCTGCTACAGCTATTGATGATCAGATTATTCTATAAATAGTTTATGATATATTTTAGATGTTGTAATACTGATGGTTTAATATTAAAACCTTCTAAACCTGCTACAGCTATTGATGATCAGATTATTCAGGTTAGTGCACCGTTCGGGTTATTGTTTATTTCTCAATTTAATTAAACTGTATAGATAATGGTCTAGACTGAATATATAAATCATCAAGTTAATATTGTTTATTTAAATACATTTCAGTCAGCTTTAGGTAGCGGAGGTCCTGAAGGTGAAGTATGGTCAACTTATTCTAAAATTGGTGAAATATACTTTGGTATTATTTTAGCAGCTGACATGTCCAATGTTTATAGTTTGACACCTTTCAAGGCTGGATTTGATACTGTAAGTAATATGAAATCTCGTTCATTCCATAAACAACAAAATTCTAAATTTATTTTCTCTGTTCTATCATATAAATATTTCAAACAATTGATATAATTGGGATAAGAGGACTTTTGTTAATACAGGAAATATAGAAATTTTTTTTCTTTCCATGTAATGCCTTTTTTAACTATTCACATTCCAGTTGTGAATGCCCTCATTTGACCCTTTTATGACTCTAAATCAACCTCTCTATCTTAGATTGAAGAATTGGTGGTATTTGAAATGGATAGGCCTACAACTTTAACAGTGTTCTCTAACATTTCAACAATAGACATAACAACTGGTTGTACAACAGTAGATTTCTGTTTGTATTATGTATCACCAGTCCTTACTATAGGGTAGGTGGGGTATCAGTAGGTCATCGCAATATGTTTATATTTGCTGTAATAGGTGAATTTTGTTGAAAAAAAAATTAAAAACATTGAAACTTAAAATCAAATTGGACGCTCATTTGTTTATATCCGCAATCATATTGTTATATTTACCATCTGGTTTTCACGACTCAGATGTATGAAGGGTTAATTTTGGTCATGGTTAGCATTTCATATATTAACCATGGAATTTTCTTTGTTTTTAGTAACCACAAGATAGTAATATTAGGAGAGATTTCTAAATGGGTACCAGTATCCCCACAACGAGTAACTCAAATAAATCAAGATTCTAATGAGTTAACAATAGATATAACTGGTCAACCAGGAGAATCAGTTCCATTCTATTTTAATATTGATGGTCAAACCAATACTATTAATTGTGTATTAGGTACCAGTGGTTCAGGTCGTATGCATGTTCTTGCTTCTAAATGTATCGTTACCTAGTCAAACAACTATTATCTATCGATATTGATTAGTATGTGTTTCTTATTAATTCTCTTATAGAGATTGTGAAAACAATATATTTTGTTTTTAACCATTAATCCATTGTATATTTATTACTTTTCCTGTGTGATATGATATTGTATTTGAATTGTTATTTATTCGTGTAAGATTTTATATAAATAAACTACTCATTATTTCAAATTTTATTTCATTTCTTCCATAATTAAATCATCATTTTTATCTTTTAATTTAAAATTTTATATTGTCATTGATTTATCGATAATGCTTCTGGGTTACTGAGAGTCCTGTCTAGGATAGACACGGGTCGAAAACAATCCGGTATAGAGATAAGCCTCGGTCGTTTCAATTCAATGCTTAAACGTATCTGGAATCTTTGAATACATGGAAGCCCTTCGTCCTTTCAAAGGCAAACGTTCCCAACTCTGCCATGAAGACTTCTCAAGTATTTCGACAAGATTCAGGAATACCTAACGTGTGAAAACTCAAACATGATTTACACAATTCAATGTTAGACATGTCTAAAACACTACTACAAAGAAACGAAGAATAATAAAAACAAAGACAAACCTGTATCTTATCGTTACAACAAGGACGACCATTCAGCCAATGCGATCTTACCCTGACCGCTATTGAGTGCAAAGAAACTGCTTTGCTAGAATATGAACCTCGCCAATATAGAAAAGCCAACTGCCAGCTGAATTGAGACACTAAATACAGCAAGACTCACATGACGTAATATTGAACATAATCCAGGAGTAGCCCATCTAGTATCCCATGCAATACCACCAGCAATCGAGCAATCAAGATAGTCTGTCCCAATTATAATTGTTTACAAGAAAAATTCGTGTAAAGTGTTTGTAAAGATGATAGTCGCATATCAAGAAAGGCAGAAATAAAATTCACAGCATACTTAAACAAATCAGTTCATGACCAAATAACCGCTCGCAAACGTCTAACCTTAACCAGATTCTGTGAAAGCTAACAAAATAAAAACTGTCCAGTAGATGGAGACCACCATGGAGATAAGAATATCTACATGCATTTGTATTTTGGAAAAACATTTGAGATTCTGTAACCCATGGTTTACAGTTCTTATGTCAGTCGACGCTTGAAAGTCCAATGATTTTCAATAAATCGCTCATGATACCCTCCGATAATCTGGTAAAGATCATTGCCAAGGACCGGTTCTCCTTTCTCGAAATCTAACTAGGCCTATAACCTTTTTTTTCAAAGTACTTCAAGGTCTTAATAAAAAAAACGAGTGGAATTACGATTTGTTATAATTGTATTGTTATCTTAAGTTGATTATTATATTGATAAGAACTATATCAAACTGATGTTATGATAAAACTAGCTTTATCACAGGACTATATGTAAGATATAAGATATGTTAATAAAACAGTGATCAAGGAAAGAGTCATCGTTCAGAACTCAAAGATGGAACTGAGGATGGTTCTGGTATTCTTAAGCTTATTTTCAACAGTCCAATTAGGTAAAGTGAAAGTATTTATTTATACCATAAAGGACCTTTGCTTCCTGGATATATATAGACATATATTATTTCAATCCAAATTACTTGAATAATGGCACATACAAATTTCTTTATCTTCCGGTGGCCTATTAACCAAAGTTTCATTTCTAATATATTTTACATATTCTATATTTCAACACTGCTGAGAATCTTCTATTAAGATCATGGTATAATGTAGGATTTTATGCCAGTGTGAAATGGCGGCTTTGTGGGTAGAGATGGCTTCTCGTCTGACTGTAGTGGCATTATATCGTTTATCTTGTAGCACCATGTGAAAAGCCCAAATGGTATGACTCGACTGATGGATTCAATATCAAAATTGTTACTGATGGTAGTTATTCAATCAGTATCAATAATATAACATGGTTTAACAGTGCTCCTACATTCTTCTTTACTGATGGTCATAAATTTGTTAGTGGTAAAGATCTGAAACTAACAACAACTACATCTGATTCTGGTAGCGATAAAATAGGACTATGGACGAGAATTAATTTTTATTATCAAGCTGGTAGTAGTAATATTACAGCTTATATTAAAACTTACAATGACCATCAAATACCGTTTGTTATATTTGGTCAGGTAAGTTACTAAAGATTATGCTTGCTATGCAGATGTAAATAATGCTATTGATTACGTTCTTTCAAGATACTATTGGCTGTTTTTTACGTACCCGTTGGTTCAATAGTAGATTCTTCAAATGAGCAAATTATAGATTAAATCCTTGTTTATTTTGGTCCATATTGTTGATTGGTTTAAATGTAAACTGAACAGTTATTTTATGAACGTCTGCAAATAATCGTTTGGCAAGCTATCATGAAAGTTTTTTTCTTTTTCCCTGCTTTAGCTTTATATCAATGGTGCTAGTAAGACAAGTGTAGGATATACAGATCATACAATATCATCTTTCCCGGGCTTTAAATTTGATGTAGACATGCAGTCGCTGGGCTTTTTATCCTATGGTGGCATGATGTTTGGAAACACGCGAAAGAAAATGGGCAAGTACGTGACACAATCTGGATTTGATTGCACCATACGATTGGATTTTGATTTTATTTACTCACCCCATGGCATGCTATAATCAATATATAGACAAATAAAATTGGTTAAAATCAAATCCAGATTTTGGTATATTGTATATTGTAGAATTATATTAACGGTGCCTCTAAAACATCGACTGGTAACACTGACTATACCATTTCATCTTTTCCCGGGTTTACAGTCTTTGATTATATACCACCTAATCTTGGTTATTTATCATACGGTGGTATCATGTTTGGAGATACTTCAAAGAAAGTTGGAAAGTATGTTACTTTCTTCATTTCTATTTAAATAATGTATATAAATTAACTTGTATATGTTTCTTTTCGTTTGTTTCGGATCTTTGAATTGTTACCTTTTGATGATGAGTATATAGAACAAACATTCTAAGAAATCTGTTAATATTTCTAGAGTTATAATATAACTAGTACAATCCAAGCGATTTGTTGTAATAATTTAAAACCTTAGTGTTACTGACACATTTTGCAGATCCAAATTACAGGGGAAACTCTATTAAAATATTATAAAATTTAAAAGTTTGATAGACCCGTGTCAAGAATTATGAAAAGACTGGAAGAAACACGAAATATTTGTAACGCAGACCTTAATTTCTCTCACCGATCAAAAATTACTTACAAAAGTACCAAGTTTCAGTTCTAAGTAGACATGAATGTACCTTAACAAACTATTGTAATTTCAAGAACAACTTGCTATTGTTATTGCTTAACATAAAATGTTGTCTACGATTTTATAATTTTCTACAATAATGTCATATTTTCTTCTTTTGCAGTTGGACATTTTCAGGAACTAATATCAACTATGGTATCGAAGGAGGTCCATTAGCTGTGTTTGATGAGTCTGGTAATACAGTAATAATATCATCAGCTAATAACTTTATGTCTACATCAGTCTATCATGAATCTGTATTAGATGTTGGTGGGGAAGTTCACTGGGGTACCATGGGTTTAGTGGATGAAGTACCAGCAGGACATATTGTAGAAACAGTCGTATATTATAGTAATAAAGGCATCAATAAGGTAGCATTTCTTTACGATTAATTTTGAAATCAGGAAGTCTTTTATGCCATGAGGAAGAAACAAGTTGGGCATTCCAAGTGTCCTGAACCTATATTTGGTTTCAGATTTCATTAAAGTTCTATTTGACATGTTATTGTTGTGGCCAGCATGGTAAGACATCTGATGGTAATGGAAACATTCCAGATTAATATGTGGCTGAAACTAAAAATGTCAATTTCATGGGATTGTTTCATTATAGGCATTTGAAGGCTGGGGTGAATATTTAAGATACAGATATAATAGACATGACCAATATGTTAAATCTGATTTAACAATAAATTATCTTGGTTATTGGACAGATAATGGTAAGTCTAATTATCTTTGGTAAAACATAAAAGTTGAATAAAACTCGATGTAAAATGTGCACAGTACTTTCAACAGGTTTTAAAATGTGTACAATATTTTATGTTACGAACAGTGCAGTGAAACACAATAAAGAAAATGTACAAAGCAAAGTACATCAATTATTGGTTGATACTTGTTGTAAATCTGTATTTAGGTGCCTATTATTATTATAAAACGGAAGATAATAAGAACTACGAAGATACTATTTTAGATGTGAAAGCATATGCTGATCAGCTTAAAATTCCCTACAGGTAGGAAGTGCTTTTGAAAAGAAGTTTCTTAGTGCTGGATTTGTGGTACTGTAAACGACGTTAGATATTATATTGGTGGCGTTTATTTCGTATACCTATAAACAATTTTCAAATCCTTGTTAAATATGCGCTTTTATTAATCAAAGCTGTTTTGTTCAATCCTTTTCCGTAGATATGTACAATATGATTCCTGGTGGTACTATAAAGGATTATTGAATGGGGTTAAAGAATGGGTTTCTCGACCTGATATCTTTCCTAATGGCATGCAGTAAGTTTCTTGAATATTTCAGAACTTTTTGGTTATATTTGAATATCTATATCAATCTTGTAATCATAATCTGATTGATAAAACCCCTGAAAAATTACATCCGGTAAACGATGTATGCTTAATGTCAGAATAAGTCTGGGTTTTCCATCAAGTATTCATTGCACCAGATGTAATTTAATGCACTTTAAACATTTCAACAACTTTAATTAGCAAGGTCTTCCTGAATTTACGCTTCAAATATACGACATTATAATGTAATTGTTTTCTTCATTTCAGATATGTTTATAATAAAACAGGCCTCCTGGTCAATGCTCACAACAGATTTTGGTAAGAAATATTCGATAATATTTATATTATTATCAATGCTGATATCTATGTCTGTTCATTAAGTTTTATAATCCTTTTTAACCTTTTATTTTTCATACAAGGTCCCCAGATACTGTGTATGCCAAACAGAATGGTGGTAAATATGATTTTGTGAAGGGGCCATTGAGAGCTTTACCAATCGAACAGGTATGGACATAAAAAAATATTAAATATAACGCGGGTCATGCTCAATATATTAAAGTCTTGTTTAAATCTATTACCAATCTGTATATATCACATATAAAATACTGGGTGTTTCGAAATTGGAGTCACCACTTCCACAATATTAACTAAAATACATTCGCTAAAAGTGATTCAGAATATTTATTTATTAAATATTCTCCTTGAGCATTTTTGTGACCTCCATCTGCCTTTACCACAGTCTATATTCTTGACGGGTATGATTTCAGCAAATCACAAAATAATTCAACCCCAATTCCCTGAGCGTAGTTCAATCTATTTCAAGGTATTTTAAGACACCTTGCATATGTTGCAGTGGTGTTTATATCCAATGTGTTCTATTTAACCGCAGAATAAAATTGCGTTAAATTACAATATTGTTTCAGAAATTTTGGGATGATCTGTTTGTTGAAGCTAAGAAATGGGGATTGGTTACATATGAACAGGTACATTTTATTATTTTCTTAATTTGATAGTACAAAAAGTCATAAATCAATTTCTGGTGGCTATCAAAAGTAAAGGCTGTTTTTGACGAGAGGTGTGGTTGTGGATAATTTGTTACCATACTTTAAAGCGCATGACAACAATGTTAATTCCTCATTCGTACGGTTGAAGGGGTATTAAGTGATTTGTATACATGTTGATATATCATAACATAAATCCATATATTTATTAAATTACGAGTAATGGATCAGATACTTAATAATTGGAACATAACATTACTGCGTCTAGACATAATTGCTATTTAAAAAGGTTTCAAGAATTTAATAACTTAGGGTAGTAGAAGGTTCTTTGCTCTGAAAGATTGACCTCTAAATTTTAATATTTCCTGGATCATAGATTACGTTTTCAGAAAGAAAAAGGGGAAACACTTTGGAATATCAATGTCCATGTATATTTTCTTTGTCCAGGACTGGCTGAATGATGAATTTTTAAGATTGAAAGAATTACAAACAGACATAGATTTGGGTACAACATGGTTAAAACAGATGGGTTCAGCAGCAGAGAAGAATGGTATTACTATACAGTATTGTATGTCATTAACACGCGAAGCCATGATCAGTTTAGAAATTCCCGTAGTTACCCAGGTAAATGTAAAAGCTGTGTGGAAATGTTACAAATGTTGTCAATGTGTGTCATGTGCGATACATTGCCCAAAATTGTTGAATGTAATGTTGCAATGTAAACACCAAGTTAGGATAACTATCATTCAGAGCAGTTTTCTGAAATTATATATCAATATAATGTTCTTTACAAGGACCCTTCTATGATATACCTATGGTCTGCAAAAAGTGTATTTATTACTATATAATAATTCCAGGCTCGAGTAAGTACAGATTATTCTCCAGGACAAGAGCAATGGCGTATTGGTATCTCATCAATGTTTGCTTACGCAATGGGAGTTGCCCCTTTCAAAGATAATTTTTGGACGACCACAAACCAAACTGGAAATCCTTATGGTATGTATCGTGAAACATTTGAGATCTTACGTAATGTTGTTATTCAAAGCTACTTACAGTACTTCACTTTTTTCATTTATATCTTTTTAATATCTTATGTTTCTTAGATCCTAGAGCAACCCTTGCTTGGGTAGAGCTATAGTAATTATTACTGTACGTTGTTTTACAGGCAGATCTGAACCATATTACGCCTTGAATGCAGCCGTAGCAACTCTCAGTACTGGACCAGTTGGACCTAGTGATAAAATTGGTCGCAGTAATGCTACATTAATCATGAGGTATGTAAAAATTCCGAGTCAATTGAAATTTTTATGATCAGATTGTCAAAATGTTCAAAAGATCAAACAACACCACATTTAATTTGTTGAAAGTTACAATTGTGTTACCAGTTACTTCCCTTGAAACATGAAATTCGTTCAGATTATAATGCTTGCTTTCACGAATCTTGATCTTTGTTTTACGTGTTGTAATGATATAGCTATTGATGATCAGAATATTCTATAAATAGTTTATGATATATTTTAGATGTTGTAATACTGATGGTTTAATATTAAAACCTTCTAAACCTGCTACAGCTATTGATGATCAGATTATTCTATAAATAGTTTATGATATATTTTAGATGTTGTAATACTGATGGTTTAATATTAAAACCTTCTAAACCTGCTACAGCTATTGATGATCAAATTCTTCAGGTGAGTTACAATGAAATTTCATAGCGATAATCTTACAACTCTAAGACAAACAGAACAAGAAAATATGCCAAGTAACATTATACTGAACAATTGAAGAGACTAGCGATACCCCATGGTTAACACATTCAAACTGATCTATTGTTTGGTTGGTTGTTAGCTGATGAGGTACTCGATGACATTGGGACTGTTGATTTTAGTATAGTTGAGAAATTCTTTTGATCAGACCTAAATTTAACGATATCCACTTTCTTTTGTACGAGACTTATCTAATAGTATTTGTGATTTCAGTCTGCTTTAGGTCAAGGTGGACCTATGGGTGAAGTGTGGACAACCTATACTAAAATTGGTGCTTCATGGAATTTATACTTCGGTATTATATTAGCAGCAGATATTGGTAATATGTACGATTTAACGCCTGCTAAAGCTGGTTTTGTTGCGGTAATTTTTTTATGTATTAAAATCTACAATGAAATATCAGAAAATAGGATCCATCTACCTAGCATCTTTATTGATAAAGATCAAAGGGGAATGCGTTTAGCAGTAGGATAGATTTAACATCTGGAAAATGAGCAATGTAGAAATTAAATGGCGCCTGATTTGGTGAATGCGATAGAGATTTTTTCAAACTGGTTTGATCTTGCCTCTGACTTGGATACAAAGCACAAAAATGTCCTTTTCTTACAAAAGATACGAATTTTTTTTTTATGTATTTTTAACACTTATACACAAACAAGGATGATCTGATTTTACTTCGTTTATTATTGAACCTGTTTTCTTCTAGTACACTAACCTAATGGTATTTTCTGTGAAAAATCTTGATGGTATAACCGAGTTCTCTGAAGAAGCTCCTCTACGCCTTACACCATCTTGTACCAAGGTCGATTTTTGTTTATTTTACATTACACCAATCTTTCATATCAAGTGAGTTAGAAATGTGTTACCTCAATTATTGAGTATATTTCATACATGGAAGTGGAATTATAGATTATAGTTACTTAGGATGTTATTGATAAAGGCAGTCATTGTAACCTGCTGCTAGCCTGGAAGATGTATTGTACATGGCTAAAAGCTTTATAAAAGCTTTATTAATCCATGAAACTTCATTGTAGACGATTATATTCCTTCAATTCTGTATGAAAAAAAACACGATGTTTATGTTATTGTTACTCAAGGCGTTACAGATGAACAAAATTCCATTGCCCCTGGATTCAAACTTTTAACGAACATTATGTGTAGAAAAGATTTGGTCAACGAATCAACAGTAAAATTTAGATACAGGATTTAGTCACTATACGAATAAAATGAAATTTATTTGTCTATTTCAGTAACCACAAGATAGTAATATTAGGAGAGATTTCTAAATGGGTACCAGTATCCCCACAACGAGTAACTCAAATAAATCAAGATTCTAATGAGTTAACAATAGATATAACTGGTCAACCAGGAGAATCAGTTCCATTCTATTTTAATATTGATGGTCAAACCAATACTATTAATTGTGTATTAGGTACCAGTGGTTCAGCCCGAATTATCGTGCTGGGTTCAAAATGTCTTGCGAGTTAAGATGTATGTTTATGTTTATAAATGATATTGGTGTATCTTCTGTAATACTTTTTGAAACTAAACATATCTTATTCTTTATATGGTTGTTGAATTATTTTCTTATTTCAAAGCATTCAATAGCTAGACGAAGCTTGTCTGATATAAGCTGGTGGAAAAAGGTTTGGAGAGGGGGGCGGAGGGAAAAGAGGTTACTAACCGACGGCTTCGACATTTACCGATTTTTACCAAACGATCCCGCGTTTTACCCACAGCCTCAATAAAATCAAGATCTTTTTAGTCATTCGCGGGAAATGTTGCACTCAACTTGTCGACTTCCTGCTTGTTACAACTGAAGCAGTTTTACCGAAAATCATTTTTAATGTAGACGCAAAGTTTATCGGGGACATCATAACCTACACAAGGTACACGATTTTCATGGTTTCGGTTAACCAGGCCAGCCATTACTTTTATCACTCTCCGGATATCATTTCCCATCATTTCGATACCTGCCACAAACTATCGGGATCTTTGAAGGCATTGAGAAATGCTGCACACAACTTGTCGACTGGCTGACACCTTAATTCGAGGATACAGCAAGAATTTCAATGCCAATGTATCATTTTCTACTGTTAAAATGGATAAGTACAAGATTTCTGCCTAGCAATTGGCATGAACATATCACAGCTAATGTTGAATTTGACCAATTTTCTCGTCTGTGCTGATGATCTAAAAGAGGTACATTTGGGTGGTTGTGTGAAAATGTCTTCGAAATTGTTATCTTTTATTGAGACATATAATTAATATCGAAAACAATTTACTTTCTCTTATTCCAACCACTTATTTTCTATGTCTTGTGGTCCATTTGTTTAGGATTGTCTTTCTCTGATATAAAAAGTTCAAATTTCAGATAAATGTTGTCTAAAGATAGCTTTATCTAAAACACACGTGACATGACCAGTGAATTTCAATGACCCAGATACAAAAAAAACCTATTATTTGATATTTATTTGATTTATTACCAATTATTATTGTTGGTGATTGAAATGTCTTTGTGGTGTTCAAGGGGTGTTGTTCCTGACATGCCAAATAAATTGTCCCAAAATTATAATGATCTTTCATCATGATTCATGTAAAATTGACTATGTGAATTGATAATTCCAGATGGTCATATGATTAAATCAATCAATTAATAGACTATGACTATGTACTAATAACGAATGTTATCTTGTATAACTAACCTATAATATCTTAAAATATTTAGATTATGGAGGGAGTACTGAATTGTTATCAGCTACTATTTCAACATTCAATATCTATTTTTCTTTAAATATTAGCTTTCGACACATTCTTAACCATTTATCACAATGGCCTGGCATGTATTTCTTGCTGTTTACTATTTCATTGGTATGTATTGTGTTTATGATGTTTTTAATACTCTTTACCATTCAAGACAACGCTAGTTTCGTATAGAATACAATCTGATCTTTAAGAATCGCGTATTATGTGTATATTTTTCATAGGAATCCCCCTCAATTAAATCAACCGTTTGTTGTCTGAATTAATATTTATAACACCGGCTACCACTATTCAATCGAAAATAAGAAGTACACATAATGCTAATGAATTACTCAGCAACTTATTAATATAATTCTGGACGTTTCGCCTAATATTTTGTTTTACACGAATGATGTATTACTGAGACATTATTATTCCAGGTCTAGCAACAGCAACATTTGAGGTCCGAACATCTCAATCCGGATATTATGATGTTCAGATAAATAATAAGGAAGTACTGAACAGTGCACAAGCCTACCTGTATGTTGGTGATAAATACTACAGCTCAGATGATTTCAACCATCGAAATAATACTTTTATCATCACAGACACCAAACGTGATACTCTAACAGATCATATGGGAACCTGGGATGTTACCAAGTATGTTTATTTCGCTGAAAACACGCCCATTGAATTCAGTATCAGGAAACATCCGTCACTTCCGGTTGCTATATTTTCCCAGGTAAATGGTTTTACTGTTTGCAATGAATGCAGTTCTCTGGTTATGTACGTAAATAGCTGATAGAACTCTCCTTTAAAGGGTATTGTAGTTTAAAGAGAACGGCCGTACAACCACAAGACCTTTTATGTCGTTATTGAGATACACACGATAACCCGAACGTTTGTAATCGTTGCCATCTTTATGGACTTATTGATACATCTAAACGATCAAAATAAAGCATCGCTGTGATTGGTTAAACTTTCAAATGTTAGTCATATGAGGCAGCTATATTTTTTGCAGAAATTTGTCGTTGATATGACTGTAACAGCTGATATAGTTAACAGAACCATCAGTGGATTTCCCAATTTCGATGTTTCATTTTTTTCTAAAAATGGGTATCTTTCGTTTGGAGGTGATTGGAGTGGACACGTTCTCGGTAGAGCTGGAAAGTAAGTTAAGTTTTATTTGAAGTTTAAAGATTTTGATATAAGGTGTCTATGTTTACGATCTTCAACTTGGCAGTAAACCTCACCTTGTTGTACAGATTGAATGTACAAAATTGATATTTTCGTAGATATTCTGTTTAAAATACATTTTGTCCAGAATGAAGGGTTTTATTGTATGAATTATATTTATGTTTCAGATTCGTGGCGAACTCAGCTAATATATTCGATGGATTGACAGGAACTGGTCCAATATCAGTTTTTGATGATTCTGGAAATGCTATAGTTTTTTCACCTTTAAATAACTTCATGACCGCTTCCTCGTATTTCTGGCAACAACGTTATTATATGCAGGGTGCTCTTCATTTTGGTGTTAGCAATGATATTAAGTTTATTCCTGCTGGTTATGAACAACATTTTGTAATGTACTACAGTCCAGATGGCGTGAACCAGGTCAGATCGTAAATTTGTTATATATATACCACCTCACTACCTTAATTTGCTATACCTTTAAAATAATTGCGGTGAATTCAATACCTACTTGATTCCTTCAGAACAGTTAGTTTTATAATCATATTAACAATTTTTGGTGTTCTCTAATTCATAATATGGCTTGAATTGTTATATTTCCGTCTTCATTAGCCCACATGGTGCAGAAAAGTAGGACGTAAAACTCCATTCATTTCAATCATTTGAATTGTTATAGTTGAGTGAGAATAATTGATATATTCCACAGGAGATACAAACTAACAGATGCTCTTGGCTGAGTATTTCTTTATCATTTTCTCGTAAACAATAAGCGGTAACATAAAAAAAATATTTCAGGCGTTTATTGAATGGGGTGAATTTATGAGAAACTGGTATCAGAAACCATTACCAACAACACCGGATATCACCCTGTCATCACTTGGATACTGGACCGATTATGGTAAATATATTTTCGTCGTGTATTGTTTGTTATATTGGGAATGAAGCTATACATCACCAAGATCAGTCGTCAAAGTAAAACATTATGTTACGTGACGTTACATATCTGCAAGTGTTGTTAGTAGGTACAGATTCATTATAAAAACTTAATCCAAACATTTCTGAGTTGTTTTCTATTCCATATTCATATTGATGTAAATTACAGGTTCATATTATTATGATAATATGATGTCAAATCACACTTATGAAGATGTGATATCGGACGTGGTGAAGACTGTTTATCCCGAGATACCTGTTCAGTAAGTAACCTGATTATAGACTACTATAAAGAATACATGTATCTTAGAATTGCTTTGGTGAAAAAATACATATAAGTTTAATGAAAGTTACAAATCTACAGTACCGGTTTGGTTCTGAGTGATAGTCTATGCAAAGCTATGTATACTTGGCTAGGGACTATTACAGAGCATTCTTGCCACAAAACTGTAAAATGTCTAAATCTGAAAGAGGTTGTATCAGTTTTATTTGTATTATTTAGATATATAGAGATAGATGATTGGTGGTATGAAAGAGATGAAAATGGTATGGTTTCTTTTGCTCCAAACTCTACAGCATTACCTAGCGGTTTAGGGTATGTTATATTTCATGATAGTGTTTGGATTAACTGTATCCATTACGAGTTAATTGACTCAGAATGAACTGAAAGTAGAATTTCATCAGTATCTAATAAATTCTCTATCGCTTGACTTGAACAACCACGATATTCGTAATTGGAATTCCATGATCCTAAATCTTAAACATTTAATTGTCATCCATTGATACTATTATATTTTCAGAGCCTTTGATAATCAAACTCTAGCATTGAAAATAGGAAAATGGTAAGTTAAAATTTAGGAATATTTTTTTTATTTCTATATGGTATGCATGCATGATGATTTTCTATTCCTTGTGCAAACCGAAATATGGCCTTATACGGCTGTTACCTAACCTATCAATAATATATAATATCACAGCATTTTCAGTGTGTTTGAGCATTTTCAATCCAAATAAGCAATTGTTTGTTTATATAATATATTCTTTCTTAAAAGGTCGCCAGAAAATCTATACGCTAAAGCTGGAAACATAACATTTATTTCTTCTAATACTACAGCAATTTCAGTACAAAAGGTAGGCTGTTTTTTCAAGATTTGAAAAAAATCCAAAGATGTGGCATGGAAAATATTAACATATAAATGATACTTATTTAGTTAATGTGTTTAAATTTCGAAAATGTAATATTATCTTGGAAGTGCAACATTTATTATGAAAATGATTTATTTTGTTTCAAAATCGGACCATTTTCACTTTTGGAATACAGGCGATATCACAATTATTTTTTTCAGAAATTTTGGGATATGATATTTTCCATGAGTAAAGATATGGGAGCTAAGTTAGTTATAATGGTAAGAATATTTACGTATTTATTGCATGCTAACAATTGCTGAAGTCTTTTCAAGTACGATGGGTATCAGTATTTACATACTAGATTTCCGAATTGTATTGGCATGACTTTGTTAATTTTTTGTATTCATTAATAGAATAATTGTTTATGTCTTTCTACAGGATGATCTTGTGGAACAAATATTAGATGTAGAAGAGTTGAGAAGCAGTGTTACATTAGCTAGAGAATGGTTAGTGAATATGGGAAAATCAGCTGAGAACCTAGGTTTATCTATACAGTACTCCAGTTCCTGGCCTAACCACGCTTTACAATCACTAGAAATACCAGCAGTTACACAGGTAATGCATTAAAGGGGTCATAAAGAAAAATCAGATTCGTATACAGTGTACAGAGCATTGATCGTCTTAGATCAGCCTGAAATGATGATAGTTCTATAAACGTGTGTACATATCTATTCTGCAGGTGAAAGTGAGTGGAAGATATATGGAAGACAAGGGGAATTGGAACATTGGTTCGACGTCCATTTTAGCCCATGCTCTTGGCTTAGCTCCTTTCAAAGATACATACTGGTCACGATCTGTGGAAGATGGTAATATTTACAGTAAGTGAACATTCTGAAACCAGCGTCTCTCTAGCTTTCTATCCACAGTGCTTTGTCGCAGAAAGCGCAGAAAAATAGGAAGAAAAGCACTATTCATGCCTTCTTTATCATTTACTATAATACACAAAGTTTCCTATATTTTCTCGATTCTCTACCATATCATTTTCTCTTCATCTCGCGTTTTATTTATTGGGCCAACGTTTTAGCTGTCATATTACTCTTAGTGCAATTTTTATAAAATCTATTACAGATAAGACTGAAGCAAACCCCGCTCTTCAAAGTTTGATAGCTACATTGAGTACTGGGGTTGTCGGTGATGGTGATAGAGTAGATCTGGTGAACCCACATATTGCTGGTCAGTATTGTTGTCGTGAAGATGGTGTTATCTTGAAGCCAGGAAGACCTTTAACAGCTTCAGATTCACAAATATTGAAGGTACTACACTATTAATAACAAAACACAAGACAATATTATGTAATATATATTCCATATATAATATTGTCTTGTGTTTTGTTATATGTACTCCTCGCTTTAACATGTCGTTCAAATCTTACATTATGATTGGTATTCTTTTTAAGTTCACGTCTTAAGTAAAGATAGCTTGCCAGGCATGGTAATATACGCCCACTGGCAGCTTTGATTTTAGACAAAAATATTTGGCTTTAAGCTTACAGTAACAATTACCTAAACCTTCAGTCTTACACTTCTTTTAAACTGTATAATATTACGAAGTGTCATCAAAATCTGTCAAGAAGTGGGGACTTCTGGAGTGTTTTCGGGCTAAAATAGAACGCGTTTTTAAGAACAAGGGAAAGGACTCTAACACAATATTTTTCAATTCATCTGATTTTCGATAGGGTTCATCCTTGGTTGATAACAAACTCTCACACCAAGTTTCATCTAAATCCGCTAAGAATTGGTCCTTCTGGAGTGTTTATGAGCTAAAAATTAAACACGTTTCCAAGAATAAGGGCAATAAGTCATACTTAATATTTGTCGATTTTTCTGATTTTCAATATTGTTCATCCTTGGGTGATTACAAACAATCATCAGTTTCGTCAAAATCAATCAAGAATTGTGCCTTCTAGAATATTTACGAGCAATTATGGACGGACGGAGGACTGACGGACATAGGTGGGGGTAATGAGTGTAAATGGTAAATGCCTATTTATGTATTTTTCATCCAAAAGTATATCTCTAGGAAAAGTTAACCACACGAGTTACATTTTACTTATATACTCTTTCAATTACTTTCATCGTTATATTTTGATTATACTTTATACTCCAGATGGCGCTGAATTCATCGGACATACCAACAGGTGATTTACTATCAACACAAACAATCATCAGTAATTTTACATTTGGTATCGGTATACTTACTACAACAGAAGATATTGATCTAAAACCATCACTTCTTTTTAATAACAAGGTATGTCAATATTATAACTAGTCTCAATCTGAATCTATCACTTCTCTTTAATAACAAGGTATGTCAATATTATAACTAGTCTAAATCTGACTATCACTGCTCTTTAATAACAAGATATGTCAATATTATAACTAGTCTTAATCTGACTATCACTGCTCTTTAATAACATGGTATGTCAATATTATAACCAGTCTGAATCTGACTATCACTGCTCTTTAATAACAAGGTATGTCAATATTATAACTAGTCTCAATCTGACTATCACTGCTCTTTAATAACAAGGTATGTCAATATTATAACTAGTCTCAATCTGACTATCACTGCTCTTTAATAACAAGGTATGTCAATATTATAACTAGTCTCAATCTGACTATCACTGCTCTTAAATAACAAGGTATGTCAATATTATAACTAGTCTCAATCTGACTATCACTGCTCTTTAATAACAAGGTATGTCAATATTATAACTAGTCTCAATCTGACTATCACTTCTCTTTCATAACAAGGTATGTCAATATTATAACTAGTCTCAATCTGACTATCACTGCTCGTTAATAACAAGGTATGTCAATATTATAACTAGTCTCAATCTGAATCTATCACTGCTCTTTAATAACAAGGTATGTCAATATTATAACTAGTCTGAATCTGAATCTATCACTGCTCTTTAATGACAAGGTATGTCAATATTATAACCAGTCTGAATCTGAATCAATCACTGCTCTTTAATAACAAGGTATGTCAATATTATAACTAGTCTCAATCCGACCCTGTAACTGCTTTTTAATAACAAGGTATGTCAATATTATAACTAGTCTGAATCTGACTATCACTGCTCTTTAATGACAAGGTATGTCAATATTATAACTAGTCTGAATCTGAATCTATCACTGCTCTTTAATGACAAAGTATGTCAATATTATAACTATTCTGAATCTGACTATCACTGCTCTTAATTAACAAGGTGTGTCAATATTATAACCAGTCTGAATCTGACTATCACTGCTCTTAAATAACAAGGTATGTCAATATTATAACTAGTCTGAATCTGACTATCACTGCTCTTAAATAACAAGGTATGTCAATATTATAACTAGTCTGAATCTGAATCTGCCACTTCTCTTTAATGACAAGGAATGTCAATATTATAACCAGTCTGAATCTGAATCTAACACTTCTCTTTAATAACAAGGTATGTCAGTATTATAACTGGTCTGAATCTGACTATCATTTCTCTTTAATGACAAGGTATGTCAATATTATATCTAGTCTCAAATACTGGCTTAATGCCAAATTTCATATTTGGATGTCTTTATTATAGTTCTAAAATGTGCACAGCATCATATTTATTTAAACTTATTCGCTTCTCTACAAACGCCTTCCCATCTGTTTGGTGCACTCTTGGTAAGATATGCGACCATACCAACAATGTATTTAGATACAAATTTTAGTGTGTTGACATAATCTCTGGATTGATCAAGTTTTATGTGTGTTTTATATCTTAACCACCACAATGAATGGTTAAGATAGTTCTTCTTCTATACGGGAAAGCAAGCAAAGTTCAGGTTTTAAATCAAGGAATTTCAGACCTCCATACCCATGCCACGAAATGGATATTTTATGCCGTGTTATTCTGTATCCCCAGGTTAAATCCTCCAGGACGACCCCATACCCATGGATCTAGAAGCACCTAAACGCATAGATCTCACATATTTTAGAAGATCTATACTCATAAAGATTATGAATACGTCTGTCCATCTTTCTACATCAATCTTCTCTCTAGAAATAAGCTCTCTAGTTTAGGCTTTTGGAAAGGAAGTTTTCTGGCTCCTTTGTTTGGCTCCAAGCATGGATGATTTATTAAAGAGGACGTTAAAGGCTCTAAGCTACCCCCTTTAGAACCTTGCGAGGTTTAGGCCCTTAAGGACTGTGCATGTAATCTGCATAATCTGGTCTACATAAAGTGGTGGTGTTTGTTTAAAGAGACTATGATAGGACGATAAAAATGAATTTACTTAATTGTGAAGAGATGATAGAGGTATTTCTCAGCAATAAATTCATCTATTGAATATACAAAAGATGTTAATATATAACTAATTATATGATATTTTTTTAAGTTTCCACAGAATCAAAGTTTCTGGATGTGGAGTAATTCGACAAAAATTCACCCCTTTACAGAAGACATGCCTTATAAATTATCCAACTGTACAGCGACAGAACCGTATTTCTGTTTGATTTACACCACCCCTTCAATCTCTCATAGGTAGGTATAGTCGTGTCAGGCTCATAGCTAGCCCATGGTCTTTTTGACTTTTTGACTAGTCAATCAAGACGTTCATCAAAACTACCGATGTAATGATTTGCAATGTAGAAAAGGGCAATTCATATAACAGCAAAACCACTGATAGCTAGTTCCACCATGAATTAAATATTTTGGAGCGGTAAACCTTGTGGTTATTGAATGCTCCTATTGGATGGTACCAGGTACAAATAAGACTGTATGTATCCTTATAAAGATCTACTACATTGGATCAAAATAAATTTCGTGGTATGAGTTTAATTCTTTTGATAATCAATATTAAATGTTTTTATTATCCAGAGGGTCTGAGGTTCGTCTTATTGGAGATGTTGGTAAATGGGTACCGATGTCAAAACAAAGGGTAGAGAACATAACAATGGTTGCAAATGGAATTGAGCTCACTTTGATGGGAAGTCCCAACCATAAAGGGAAATTTCACTATGTTGTGAATGGTGAAAGTAGAGTTATGGATTATGTGATAAGCTCCAATGGTTTATCTACCGTAACTTTACCTGTAGAACTAACAACTACTACAGCTGTACCACCCAGTAGTACACAGTCTGTACCCAGAACTACACCTAATGATAGTGTTACTATATTTAAACCTGCAATTACCTATTTTATACTCATGACGAGTTTCTTATTAATAAAATTGTTCCAGTAATTTTTTCACTGTAAATTTTGGTATTGTGGACATCGCCTCATGATCCCTTAAAGTAAAAGAGTTGTCTAGGTATTTGATTTACGATCTGATGGAGCTGGCAGTCAGCGAGACCAAAGACTCTATAAAACACCATTCCAGACCAATTTAGTGGCCCAGCTCAGGTGGAGGTAAACATACTAGCAAGATATTTATATTCACATTAAAAAGTGATATGAGTTCATGCTACAGTCGAGGGCTAATATGACCTCGGATATCATGCTTTAGAACATATCATATACATGCATATTAATGACGGTCATGAAAGTGACAATAGTCTAACAATATTCCATTTGTCTTTTTTTTATTTATTTGTGGGTTAGAGCCTTAATTTTCAATTTACTAAACACCTAACACATCTCACTCGGCTAATAAAAGCAAAACGAATTGAAAGTTGCTGTGTATAGTAATGATTTTCGGCACATTTCTATGATAATGAGATATATTGGAGTTTTACGTCCTACTTTTCTTTCTGCAATTGTCAGACAAACGACATCAGGTGTGCAATGAGGGAAATTTGGTCAGGATAGAGGCCCTAGTCACAACAAAGAGAACCCAATATGGAGTGGAACAGAAACATACAAGCCTTCAAGATCGTCATCAATTCGAGTTTTACTGAATATACAGAATATAAAGCTGCTATGTGGATATGGAGGTTGTGTTCGCCAATTTTAATACTTTTTGGAAGTGTGGGGAATATCTTGTCTCTTATTGTGCTAGTAAGAAAACGACTTCGGTCATCACCAACCATGTTCTTTCTGACAGTACTAGCTCTAGTAGATCTGTCTGTTCTATACATTGGATTATTACGACTATGGTTTGAATATTCATATGAAATTAATTTGCGAGAATCATCGGAATTTGCATGTCGTCTCCATACATTTCTCGTATATATTACCTTATCCTTTGATATAATATTGATGTAATATAATATATTCAATTTAATTCATGGGTTATTCTTTCAACATCTGTCACTTGACACATGTCACAATTTATTTACTTGAATTCAATTATATGTTTGTAGTCCCAACAGTAAGTAGCAATATTTCAATGAGGCCTTTCAGTATTGGTGTAACATTTAGCCTACTTTTTTACAATTTTCATAAATTGGTTTATAACGGTTTTGAGCGTTGTGGAGCATTGTAAAACTTATGGAAAAATTGAATTATCTTTATGCCGGAGAATTCAAAAAAATTGCTAGAAACTAAGATTAAACTTGAATTTAAACGAAACGGGATATTATTTGTTACCAATCCGCACTTTATTCAAATAACACAGTGCTTAACACTGGAAATATCATCATTACTCGTAGCATGCATGTAGTTTTCAAACTCCACATCTTTAAGAATATCTAAGGTGCATTTTCTTTGATGTAGACTTTCTTAAAAACCGTGCGAAGCAAGTGGAAAAAGCGATCATCACAATCGTTGCAGTGATAGAGCCTGGAGACCATCGCATCTTCAAAGTGTTCGGTTTTCTTTTAGATATGGAAGAGAAGTCTTCACCTTTTAAAGGCGATTCAAAGTCATTCTTGCCGACATATTATCCAACATTTACTACTACAAGATTACAAATTAAAATCGACAGATTGAAGACAAATTTAAAATTAGTTCGGTTGTGTTTGGTGGTAGCTATTATATTAGTATTGACAAGTACTCTTGTAATCACTTTAAGAATGGAAGCACTGTCGAACGCCATAGAACACGAATTATCGCAACCTCGCAGCCTGCTGGTACAAGTGCGCAGACGAAAGGCAGAAGTAGTGATTAATTCGAACCAGAAAGTCAATGAGATGAGAGAAGAAAAAATAATAATTCCGGGTGACACTGTGATTGGTGATCAAGGTGACTAAATTCACATTATTTCAACTTAGTGATACACAAATTATTTTCAGACGTGGGATATGGTGGATTTTATTGGGAAACATTCTATCGTTTGAATTGCAGACGTCCTATTTTTATTCACTGCTACGTCTAGCTGAATTCAAGCTTTATCAATTGGTAAATCAAAAAAACCGACAATGCATTAATGATTATAATATAACGCTTTTATGTTATATATTTGGTTTAGATAGCACTGCCTGCATTTGTTTTGTATTTATAATACAATATTTATATTTACAGTATTTACATTTTCGTTCAATCTTGTATTATGCAACATGAGGTTTAACTCATTCGCCTGAACAGCTTGAACAAAAGTCTATATTCAATTTTTAAAATGTGACCGCTTATAAATGTGATTATTATTTATAAATATATTGCGTAGGACTGTTCGGTATACCTGGTGTATTTGGTACTTGTTTTATAAGGTACTTGGCATGTCCAAACTCAAGGCCAGACTATAGATAAAGTATTCTATTACTGTTCATATAGATATTAAAATGATAATCGAAATAAAAGTAACATATTCGAATATTCTCCTTATTCTTTTCTTGGAATTAGCATATCGACACATTTTGTTGTGATGTCTTACATAGAAAATCAATCGCCTAGATTATACAGTAATGATAGATTACAATATTCTAACGTATATAATCAATATAACACTTTGGATGACGCTCTAGATGTTCTAACTAAGATGACTAATTTTGTTCTAATTACATCTAGAAAAATGTTTTACACCCCAATTGTACCCCCATTTATTCTTAACAAACATGACTTTTTATACCTTCTGCCCAAAAGTTTGTTTCAGAATGCACCAAATCGATTCAGTTTTCGGATTTTTTTTGTGGGAGAACCCTTTCAGACACTCCATGAGAGGCTTGCGACTATGACGCCTCCACAGGATTGCTTAATTTTGAATTTCAGTCTCTACAGTCGTCCGCCGATTTTGTTAGCCTGTCTCTTGTTTGCACCCACAGTCTGACGAGGCTGGCACCGCCACTGATGTGTGCTTCATGAACTCTCGATAATTGAGAACGAAACAATACTTTACTTGGCGAAACATCCCGATATCATTTTGCCTTCTCGTATAACCACCACAGCATGGAATTTGTTGAAGTCACAATATTTGAATTGTCAAGTAAATAAAGCTTCTAGTGCAATGTCTTGAAAAGCTGAAAGTCAGGTTTATCTTCTGTAAATTGTTTTTAAATCATTTCCGTAAAAGGCAGCTCAACGATGGAGACCCTCAAAACTGATATCGCAACTGATTTAATCCTGCAATTACAGGATTATCATTCCAGAAAATAGACCTATTATAAAGAAAGCCTGTTACCTTGACACGTGAACTAGTTCTGGGATTATTTTATCAGATAACTAGCATATTGGTATTTACACAAATGTCAAGTAAAAATAAAATACTAATAAAACTAAGGTTGATTAAGACTTCAGATTGAATTGTTCTTCAAGTGCCTCTTAACAGACTATTCAAGTTAAGCAATGATTTATACGGTAGTCCTTCAATTTTCTATTATCTTCACTGGAACCTTAAACGTTTTTATAACACTCTCTGATAAGACACAGTTTGTCCATTTTTATCCTTTATTGATCGGAGTAACACATATAGTTATGGATGTCACAGCCTATTTCACGAGTGGTAGATTTAGATTATGTTATGTTTATAGGCTATATAATCTCACTCGACTAATAAAAGCAAAACGAATTGAAAGTTGCTGTCACAGTTGGCTAATGTGTATAGTAATGATTTTCGGAACATTTCTACGATTAATGAAATAAATTGGAGTTACGTCCTACATTTCTTTCTGCAATTGTCAGACAAACGACATCAGGTGTGCAATGAGGGAAATTTGGTCAGGATAGAGGCCCTAGTCACAACAAAGAGAACCCAATATGGAGTGGAACAGAAACATACAAGCCTTCAAGATCGTCATCAATTCGAGTTTTACTGAATATACAGAATATAAAGCTGCTATGTGGATATGGAGGTTGTGTTCGCCAATTTTAATACTTTTTGGAAGTGTGGGGAATATCTTGTCTCTTATTGTGCTAGTAAGAAAACGACTTCGGTCATCACCAACCATGTTCTTTCTGACAGTACTAGCTCTAGTAGATCTGTCTGTTCTATACATTGGATTATTACGACTATGGTTTGAATATTCATATGAAATTAATTTGCGAGAATCATCGGAATTTGCATGTCGTGTCCATACATTTCTCGTATATTTTACCTTATCATATAGTGTTTGGATTATTGTGGCGGTGACAATAGATAGATGTATTATCGTATGTGCTCCATTTAAGGCGAAGACTTTGAGTTCGTTATCCAAAGCCAAAAAGACTGTTCTCATTATAGCAATTATACTAATCTGCTTTAACGCCCACATCTTAGAAACTCAAGCCTTGATTTCAGTGAAATATTTTGAAGGCGGTATCCGTTGTAGCCATGCTAAACATAGTGAATACTTTCGTGATTATGTATGGCCCTGGATAGATTTTGGTTTAAATTGTTTTATTCCATTCACTGTAATGATAGTGTGTAACTTGCTGATTATACGTCGTATATCATTATCTGCTAGAAAACTAACACAACATATTGAAAGGGACCAACCAAAGTCTCCATCACATACACTTAGTATCTCACGGGGTCACAGATTGTCGGTATTACCACTAGCTAATTCAACTGCTACTGTAACATCAAACACTGAATCAACACCAGCTAACAGAGTTCGAGATACTGCATTCTCCTTTCATCCTCAAGTTAGTGTTGATGTGTCTAGAAAAGCTCAGAACAGATCGACAAGTTTAACCATTATGTTATTGGTAGTAAGTTTTGTTTTTATGTTGCTAGTGTTACCAATAACAGTATTTCTAATCGGATTTCAAGTTTGGATTGAAACAGCCGACCCGAGAACAGAGGCTAAACTAGAATTAGGCTGGGCTCTCGTTAATATGTTACAATATACCAACAACTCAATACATTTCTTTTTGTATTCTTTGACTGGACCTAGATTTAGACGCGAGTTTCTATCACTTTTTAAAAAGAAATTTGGACAGAAGAAAATTGAACCGAGTGACACGGTCGATAAGGAAGCTTCGCCTGGAAAATAGATCACATTGATTTCTAAATGATCAGTTCAAGAATTCTTTGTTATACACGAAATGTTCATTACGCACAGAGATTTGGACATTATATTGAACATATTTAAAATACATACACAAATTTTGTGATATGTTCATTATTTATTTTCTATACATTGTATTACGAAGGCACGAATTTGTGATACCAAAACATAATAAAGTTACCTACTGCACTTAAAGTTATCCTTTCCATTCTTACCTTCTTTTGGGACACAATATACTGGAGTTTTGTAAGAAGATGTTAATTGAGCTTTCAATTGTTCATTGGTGCCATGGTTGTATGCATGCATGTTTTTTTTTTACAATATGGCTGTAATTTGTGGCATTCTTAAAATCTTGACCACGTTTATGGATTCTCGAATTAAAAGAAATTTTTATTTTCCAATCCATCTCTTTCTCTTGGACGTTTATCTGCTTCCTTTGGTTATAGGGGTAATAATTGTCTAAAAAAATCCCGGTGGTCGAGACAAGAATCTGCTGTGAGTTCTATATGGAGAGAGTTGACTGCTGTGTTGAAAGTTTTGAAATCTATTTTGAATTCAATTAGAGGTCACAGAATAAAGTGGTTGACTGATAATCAAACAGTTGTTAAGATAATTCAAAAAGGTAGTATGAAAATAATTTTTTTTATTACTTTACAAGAAAATTATATTTCATTGGAATTAGAATTGGATACCTCGACTGAAAAATGATAGAGCTTATAATAGATTATGATGATTGGGGATTACCTAAAAGGAGAAGGAATTTTAGTAACTTCGGCTAGGAAGGACATGCTGTTGATTTATGAATGATGTGTGATGCAAAATAATTTTATTTGTGTGCAGAGTAAGCTTACTCTTAACTCACAACTTGATTTTGATATTCTCCATGTATTTATGACCCTGTACTCACCTTCTTCTTCACACTATTATTATCACGGAAGTATTACAGATGCAATGTATAGAGAACGGATAGTGCACGTGTTGAGGAAACGGAGGTTGTATGCATTGCGGTCATAAAACATGCACACTTGACCGGGATACACTTTCAACTAGCATACAGATTCAAGTCGAATCGTCTCAGCATACACATTCGCGGCAAATCGACCCGATATGACAAATACACATAAAAAATCTTTCAATTTTGCAAACACATAGGTGACTTCGATTGGAGCCTGTGTTAGACTCGAGTCACTCGAGTTACAACCGAACTGTAATATTTTCTAGAGTTGAGGCTCGTGTGACGTATTATTTGACCTAGTTACAAGCTCGGGTCCGACACTCACTATTTGTAGAATCAAACACGTGTTAACGCGGTAGCATATGGAATGTCTATATATAGTCAAAAGTCCATATGGACTCGCTCCACTAATTCATTTGCCATCTCTTCCCATGTTTAAACACGAAATTCAACCTTCTATAACTTTTTCCAGAAATCTCGTTGAAAGCTTTCCAAAATGTTGAATGAAAGCCTGACCAATTCTCAATGTATCCTAAAAAATTCATTATATGATGACCATGAAAATTTTGAGCTACTAAAATTGAAAGTAGACTACTACCGGTTATACTCATCCGCTAGAGTTTGGCACTTCACAAAACGACTACCGGTATTTTTAGAATTCGCCTTCCGCCTTTAGGTCTCTCATCATCGTACCAAATCTGAAAGATAATGCTATTTATCAACTTGGTGATTTGATATTTCGAATGAGGACTAGTGTGAGATACTATGGTATGAATTTCAACAAGGTTTCTAAGACGGCTAAGCCTCGCAAATTGCCCGTAAACTCTGAGTATTATTCTACATAAGCCATATATGTCGATTAGTGTATGTCTTTAATGGGCCTCCGTACAAAAAGTAAGCAAGACAGCAACTTCGTAAAGTTAAGCCTCACAAATTTCCCGTAAACTCTGAGTACTATTCTCATATAGGTTATATATAAATCGATTTGTGAATGTCTTTAACGTGCGAAATAAGACTATTCAAGTTAACAACTTTCATCTCAAATTTCCAATTACAAATAACTATTTGATAATATGGTACAAATACGTGTGTTGGAAAATGTTCTATAGAACAAATTAAAAGAAAACGCATTTTAAGCAAAAGAATGGAAATGATAATGTAAACAATAGCTATTACATTCAATATTCAGAACATGCATTAAATATAATAATTTTACAATAATTTATATCTTACTAATTTACTTAAAAAAAACTGGACACTATGAAATCATATTGTACTTACTTCCAAAAAGGATGTAGGTTATAACATTATAGTTTTATGAGGACCTCCCTCTCCACTCATCAACCTGTTACCTGATAGGTTGAGGATAATGAAAATTATCAAACTATTATAAATTTTAATGTAAAATATAAAATATCACCTACTATATACATAAAATGACAATCTAATTACTAGTTAATTTTAAAAGAATAAATTTGAACTCATTTCCTTGATTAATTAATTAAAGGGAGATAATCATTATGCTATTATGGACAGCTATTAATGCCAATAATTATAAACCTGTAATGATACTACTGACAGCTATTAATGCCAATAATGTTTTATTCTAAATTAACAATCAGTTATATTTACATGTCTTTAATAGGCCTCCGTACAAAAAGTAAGCAAGACAAAAACTTTGATATTTCGAATGAGGACTAGTATGAGATAGTATGGTATGGATTTCAAAATGTTCCTATGACGGCTAAGACTCGCAAATTGTCCTTAAACTCTGGATATATTCTCATATAGGTTATATATATGTTGATTGGTGTATGTATTTAATGATCTTCCGTACTAAAAGTAAGGGAGACAGCAACTTGGTGATTTGATATTTCGAATGAGGACTAGTGTGAGATTGTATAATATGAATTGGAATAAGTTACTATTATGGCCAAGCCTCGAAATTGTCCGTAAACTCTGAGTATTATTCTACATAGGCCATATGTATGTCGATTAGTGTATGTCTTTAATGGGCCTCCATACAAAAAGTATGGGAGTCAGCAACTTAGTGATTTGATATTTAGAATGAGGACTAGTGTGAAATAGTATGGTGAGAAAAAGACTTTGCATTTATTTACAACGTTCGTGGCAAACCTATCATCATAGGCAATTCTTTGAATAAAAATATTGTCATCTATTGCAATTGTTTTTACAACAAAATCAGAATATTGAGTATGTGTAGCATGTATCTGGATTTGTACTTGAGCATAATACTGATGATTCTTGTCGAGACTTGTCCATTATTTGAATATTTCAAATAAGACTGATCTGAGCCTGCAATTTGTTTAATAGTGTCATTTTAAAAATTTTCGGGACATTATGGATCTCAGCACCTGTAAAATTAATTCAGTTTATACATATACATGTATAATACATCTTAGAGTAGTTTATTGAGGAAACAAATCACGAACTTGCATGAGTGTAAACTAGACACACCTGCTTTGTTCTTTATTGATATGTTTGCACACAAGACAAGGCGAGGCGGGACCTATTTATACGAGGTGAATCAATCTACCGAAGTGATTGATTGCTTAATACCCCAGTCATGTTAATCAGGTAGTCAAAACACTGTCAATTACTTTAGGCATCTTGTAACTCACATGAGTGCTCTTTGGAGCAACACACGTTTTGTTAATTGCCAGTTCATACATTTTGTTTTAAACATAAATAATTGTGACTAGAATGAATAGAATCATGATACAAATATAATAATCAAATAATAATACTGGATACAGAAGGAACAGTAGAAGAACACTTTTACCTTTAAATAATAATAAAATCTATCTGTTTAAGGTTGTGAAATTAGGCTCAGTCTCTAGAGTCTGATATCAGTTGGCCTACTATAGTAATAAATACTTACACAGTTTTATATAATCTTCTACATCTGAGAATGATGTATTAGGAAAATGTATGTAGTTTTTCTCCCACCCAGCTAATATTTTTACATGATCAGGAAGCATAATCAAACTATCTTCCAAAATAAATTTACTCTTTCTTTCTTCTATCATCGTCAACAGGAGTTTTAAGCGGAATATTTCTGCTCTTTGCAATAGATGCTAGCACATGTCTATCTTCCTTATTTCTACTGGCGTATGGGGTTCCCCGGTCTTCAAGAAAAACGCCCAATTCATCTCACTTCAACACCGCTCATTATTCTACTCCATTTCTGTTTACATTATGGCGGAACTCTAAGAACGCTTACTATCCCACAATGCAATGCAATTTTATGCGCGAACAACCAGACACGCTCTATCCGTAAGGTGGTCTATAGGAGGTCAAAATATCCTACAGCTTAAGTTCAACTGGTCGCGTTTAGACGACTAAAAGCCCGGGCTCGAAAAACGGTTAATAGTTAAAATGCCTTAACCTAAGTCGTCTGAACCAGTGGCTGAGCTAGGTTTACGTCCGAATCTCTAACCTATTTATGAGATTTTTGCCCGAAAAACTTGCTTTTGGGGCTGCGAGGGGGGCGGCTGTACCCTCTGCCCCCATGCCCCCCTTTGGCTCCGCCACTGGTCTAAACAAAAGACTAAATCAAACCCGCTTCAAATAGCAGTATAGATATGGGTGTTTACGTGGTCATCTTTATTTCATTTATGTACGAATTTGAAAGTTTAAATTAAATCAATAATCTTACGGCATATTCTACAAGCAATAATAACATGACCTCCCATACGAGCTATTTCTCTGGCAGCAATGTATCCAATACCTGCAAAACAAATACATGTATACAAGTATGAAGTACAACAATCTTATCAATTAAATCATCCAAAACCGATCATAACTGTCGCAAGTACAAAGATAGCTTGCCAGGATGGTAACATACGCCAACTACCAGCTGTCAGAAATGTTAACTAAGTCGTTTGTGACTTTATAATGAATTTTCAAATAATCTTTAAAATATTTTAAAGTCAAGGCAAAACTTCAAAAACAGTTCATCTAAATTATAATCAAATTCAATCATGAACAAAGTCCCATCATTGTACACA